CCCCCAAGGGTGGGTCCACGGGGGGATGGGAGCGCAGCCAAAACTACTGCCCTCACCCCTGAGCATGTGTCTGTGCAGTCCCTGGACTCCTGCATGGAGCTGGATTCCCTCCGGGAACGCATGCAGCGGATCCACACGGAGACCGAGGGCAGGGAGGAGATCAGGCTGCTGCAGCAGGACCGAGAGGAAGGTGAGGGGCAGGGAGCAGACTTGAGTGTGCAGGATGGGAGTTCGTATGGCATGCCTGGGTGTTGCTCCCTCGTGTCTATACTTACATTTTCGATGATGTACACTTCAGAGAGGGGCTCCTGGGATGCTGACGGTGGGGGGTAGAAGGCAGTGGCAGGGGGGGGGGAGAAGGCAGGCTGCAGAAGCACAGCAAGGCCCGGCTTTTGACATCTGCTGTGGCTGGAAACAGGGCAGCTGAGCATCATTCTGACCTGTGCAGGGCTCTCCCCTTTCACAGATGCTGACAGAGAAGTCACCACTGCCACCAATTTTGCATGCTACATGCAGGACCCTGACTTTGGATACCAGGACTTTGCTCGGCGTGATGAGGATCAGACGCAGGTATTCAGAGTCCAGGTGAGGTTCCTACTTTCTCAGCAGGCTGCTGTCTTTCCTCTCCTATTCACTCTTGATGTGGAGTGAACACTTGCAGGGTTGTCCACGCAGCCTGGATCTGGCACAACTGCTTTTGTAAAATGCCCAAGCGGAGAAGCTCAACTCTGAGAGGGAACCTGCTCTGCTAGGGCTGGGGAGAGGGAGGTGACTAGTGACTAGTGACTTCTGTCCTACAAGGGCTGCTAATTTCTTCACATTGCCCTCATGGATGCAAGGGTCAAAATCACTCAAAAGCTGTCTGATGAAGGATGTTGCAGTTTGTGGCAGAGCTGCACTCAGAGCAAACCTACTGAACACTGCTGCATCGCAAGGTCTCCAGCCCTTCTTACTAGGAATGTGCCCTGGGCTCCTTTTATGCAGCTGCAAAAGCCTCTTCCTGTGCTCAACAGGATTACTCCTGGGAAAACCATGGCTTCTCACTGGTCAACCGGCTCTACTCTGACATTGGGCATCTCCTGGATGAGAAGTTTCGAATGGTGGATGGTCTGCAAAGCAGTGCCATGGCCAAGCGGCAAGGGTGTGAACCCTCTGTCTTCAAGCGAGGCATCTGGAACTACATCCACTGCATGTTTGGCATTAGGTAGGGAAACCAGCCTTGTGGTCCAGGGTAGAAAACCGAGCTCACCCAGGTGGGAGGAGGGTAGGGCACTCGGCCTGTCTTGCAGATGGGCTTGGAAAAGACATGGAGGTGAATTGCCTGCCTGGACATTTGGTGAGGCAGGAAAGAGATGCTCAGCTTCTCTGGCCAAGGTAGGGTGCTTTAAGAATGGGGCTTTAGTGACTGGTGGTCACTGCTGCATATCTCCCTGCCCTGAGGCTGTGCCATGTCCTGCACAGACCACAGGCAAGGTGCTCTGTAGGGACACAGTGCTGGCTGTGACTTGCCCCTGTGCTCCCCACAGGTATGATGACTACGACTATGCAGAAGTGAATCAGTTCCTGGAGCGAGTGCTCAAAGTTTACATTAAAACTGTAACCTGCTACCCAGAGAAGACAAACTCAGAAATGTTTGACAGGTTCTGGAAGCAGTTCAAGCACAGTGAAAAGGTGGGACATCTGCCTCCTGGTTCTGACCAGCTGTGGTGGGGCAAGGAGTGGACAGGGGCTGCAGGCTGGGGTACTTTATTGGGGGAGTATGGGCAATATTTGAGCCATGAAATCCATTCAAGGTAGATGATGGGGGCGGGGGAGATGGAAACTGTTTTTAAGGAGTTGAGCTTAGCACAGCACGGTGCTGCCCACAGTGTGGCCACTGGGGCCACCAGCAGCACGGGGATTTCCAAGGTCATCACCCCATTGGTGAGTGCCTCTACGTGAGCCCTCAGTACAGCCATAACCTGCAGGAGTGGCTGGCGTGGGCAGCAGGGACTGTGCCAAGCATGCCAGGGACTCCCCAGCACACTTCTCTGTGAGGCAGCCACACCCTGCAAGTACTGGGAGGAGGGGGAAAGGACAGCTGTCTGTGCTGGAGAAATTGATGGCATTTTGTCCTGTGCTGAAAGATTCACTAGCCTGGTGGGTGCTTGCTTGCACCACTGGCCACAGCACATTGCAGCTGCTTGAACCTCTCTTGTTTCTCCCTTAGGTCCACGTGAATCTGCTCATCCTGGAAGCCCGAATGCAGGCAGAGCTGCTCTACGCGTTGCAGGCTATCACCCAGTACATGATCTCCTAGACAGTGGGGAGGTGCGCTGCAGCAGGGCTGAGCAGCATTCTCTCTCTCTGGACTCACACGTAACCTGTCATTCTGGGATGGATGCCAAGGGATTACTCAATTTAGTTTACTTGACTGTCTTGTTCCCTTTTTTTTTTCCCCCCTATGGGGTTCACTGAGTGGCCCTGTTACGTGCAATTACGAAACTGTGAGGCAAGTCCATGCTGCTGAGATGTTGGTGTTATGCTGGAGACTTGAGCATGTCCAAGGACTGTCAAAGATGGGGTGGGGAGAGGGAGGTGGGAGGCAACTTGGGGCAGTTGAAAGGGATGCTCCTCAGTGAGCAGAAGCTCCTCACCTGGGTGCTGTGGAAGCCTTGGCTGCTGCAGGAAGGACGAAGAGGAGAGCTAGCTTCCTTCCCTGTGCTGCAGTGGCTGCCCTGCGTGCAAGCCGCATTTTGGCACCTGGCCTTGCTGGGGTGATGCATCTCGCTTGGGAACAGTATGGGCAACTTGTGAGTACGTTGCAATGTCCTGAGTTGCGCAGTCAGGCAGGAAGGAGTGTTGGCTCTGAGCGAGGGCCCTTCCCCAGCCTGGGACAGAGATGCACTTGCTGTCAGGCGCATCCTGCCATTAGGTCTATGTGCCAAACCCCTCTGGGATGGACAAGCAATAACCCAGGTGAACTCCAAACTGTGAAGCTCGTGCTGTCAGGGTGGCCAAAGCACTCTGCCTTCACTGACAGTGGGGCAAGAAGGTCTGTTATACTGTTCAGACTCTGGAGGTTTCTGCAAGGAACTTTGGGCAGTCCTCAGGGAGCTTGCCCCAAAGGCCCTCCTCTGCCTCACATTAGCAGAGGGACAGGAGGAACGAGGGAGGCTTCCTGAGTTAATGTGGCTTGTATCTTACCACCATGAGAAGGCTGAAGCCCTGTGCCGTCACTTACTGCTTCACAGCATGGTGGAAGAGCCTGTGGTTGGCACAGGTGAGCTACATGAAGCTTTTCCTTCAACTTAGGCTTGGGGAGACTCCCTGGGCTGTCCCACTTTGAACAGAGGCAGCCTGTGCACCAGCCTTGCTTTCTGCCTGGCAGGCAGGAATCTGCACCATTGTTCCCCCTGTCTCTGGGCTGCTCCCTGCCTGTGCAGCAGCCCCTGGCTGGGGAGGTATGAGGGATTGGGCATAGCCTTCAGAGATCAGCCGTGAAAGGGGAATGAGGCCACCTGTGATAAGTGGGACCTGGAAGCAAGGGCAGCTGTCAAGTCAGCCCAGTGCACGCTGCTTCAGTCGACCTGTTTACTGCGTAAATGTTTGAGGACAAATCTTTGTGTATGGAAGCTACAGAAAAAGCCTATTTTTGCTATAAATATATTATGTTTAACATGGATGCATGCTTTATTTCTGCCAGCTGTTGGGAAGGAGATCCAAACATAATGGCTGCTCTGAAGGCAGGACAGCAGTGCCTGGCTGACCACAGCCCCAAGATGGCTCCAGCTCCAGGAAATCCAATGTTCTCAGCTGTGGTGGAGTTCTCCACTGACAGCTCTGGTCCAGGGCCAGCAGCTGGTTGCTAAGGCTGGACCTGTTCTGTTCAGCTTGGCCATGTCCTCTGCTCATGCTTAGATAAGCAACTCCTACAACACTGCATATTCAGTAGGAAAAGAGGGAAGGTTTTCAAGGAGCTGTGGTGCTCTGATAAGGAAGAGGGTGCCAGAAGAAGGAGCTGGCTTCTTCCCCAGGTATGTGGCCATGGGTGGGTGACATGTTGGGTGCTGCTTCTGCAGCTGAGGAAGAAGCATTTTGCTTGCACTCACAAGCAGGTGTTCAGTTAACAAGGCCAGGAACAGCACCAGCTCTTTCCCCAGCCATGCTGAATGCACCCTTCCTGTAGCACGGGCTGGCGGTACCTGTGCTGAGTATGGACCGAGCAGTAAAATGCCAGGACAGCTGGTGCTGGGCAGTACGGGCTGACTCTACTGGTGCCAGGACAGTGGCATGAATGCCTGGTGCTGGGACAGCTGCGAGGAGGCTTTGCTTGATAGTACTGGGACAGGCACTGCTATACCATTGTTTATCCCCAGTGAGGGCTGGGCACAGATTAGGGCAGCTGGGTGTCTTGCTCACTGTCAGGTGTAGTGCTCTGATTAACTGTAGCAGCCTGGCTGTCTGCTGGCCATTTTGCCAGCCTTTCCCTTGTCCCTGCAAAAGCAGCTTGGTCCCCCATAGGGCTGGGATGAGCCCCAGCAGCCAATTCTCTATGCAGGCTCACTGCTCTGCCAAGCAAGCAGTGCACCCATAGCTCTGTGCAGGCCAGGGCTGGCTCCCAGAATGCTGCCAGCAGCAGCATCCTCACCCCCTGCCATCCCACCAAGCTGCTGGGGAGAGAGAAGGGAGAATGCAGTGACAGCACAGTGCTGGCTGGGAGCAAAAGGCCACCCGTTCCCCTTTAGTGTCCCATCTCTCTCTCTTTGTGCAAAAAGAACTTGCCTTGCAGGAACCAGGGCAACTGCCACTTGCTCTGGCTCACAAAACAAGCACCAGTCACAGCAGCAAGACGAAGGGCTCCATGGGCTGTCAACCCTGACCAGAAAAAGCTCAGCTGCTGGCAAGGCCAGAGTAGTCTGCCAGCCTTGGTTTCCCAGCAAGAAGAAAACATTCCCACGTGATCTCAGGGCTAGAAAGTGAGAGGTGAACAATCTACTCCCATCCCTGCAGGGCGAAGTTACTATCATGTCCCGAGTAGGTCATGTAGCAGGTAACAAGTACTGGGGACTGTGTCACTGGAGAAGCTCGTGTCTTATTGACCAGACACTTCAGAGGAGTTCTACACCCACACCAGTAACTACAGCTTAGCTTCTAAAATCCATAAGCTGATCCTTCACCTTATGAACCCCCCTCCTGCTCCTCTTCTGTGCTCAGCCCAGCTGTGAAGCTCTTGAACTCACTGAGGCTCAGGCTTTGAGGCTTCCTCAAAAGGGCAGTGCAGGCACTGCGCCATTCAATGTAAGCAGAGGACTCTAACCCACATGGCACACCATAAGTCTGGCAACTTCAATGCTTAGGACCTTGCCCTGGTGCGCCCTGTACCCTTCATCTGTCTTGAATAAGGTACTCCTCTATTGCTCTGTGGCTAGAAGACCTGCCAGAACCCAGGATACCTCTCTGCAGGAACCTTCCAGGATGTCCACCAGCATACCCACGTGGGAGCCAGGCCACTGTGACCTTACCTGGAATTACAGAGGGGAGGATGCAGGCACACATCCAAAGCAGTCACTAGCCTTCTTGCAGCAGAACCAAGAAAGGCATTCTGGCAGGCACAGCCAAGACTACTTCTGTACCAGCTGAGCTGTTCCCAAGCTGTGTGATTGGAACAAGCTCTGCTGCAGCAATGTTTACTGTCACAATTCCCACAACCCACACATTAAAACCAGGCCTGTGGCTGCTGGTCTTACCACAGCAGTGGAAGGAGGCAAAATAGACGGGGATACACTGTCCTGCCAGCACTGTTCTGGAGCAGGCAGCACAGACTCCAACATCCCCCCCTTCCCCAGCGCGCCTTCCACACGGACCTGTTAATACCACCACAAAAGCCACATGAGGCAGGGCAAAAGACTTCCCACTGTGCTTTCACACATTGTGTCATCACTGGTGGCAGAGTAGAAGCGTTCGTCAACTAGCAACCATCTTGGGCAAAGCAGTCTCTTGCCAGAAACTAAGCCAAGCAGAAAAGCTGATGAAGCTTCTTCACTGGCTTTAAGAAGTGCTGCTTTGCAGGCAACTACTCTACCGGCCAAAATGCTTATGGTGACAACACATGAGAACTATGAGGTCTCAAAGACTGACCCACTGCAAACAAGGTGCACTGAACCCTCAGAGCTGTTAGGAGAGAACACGGGAAGACTCTTGCTGACTACTGGAGATGGTGTCACACACATCAAAAGCAACCCCAAGCCAAGGTATTCAGGTCCTGGGCTGGCATCTATTCAGTGCTTTGCTCTCCTTGTAAATGTTTAAGTGTCACAGGCCAATGCTCAAATTGGCATAAAAAGTGTTAACACAAAATGCTCAAGGAACAGATGAAGGACAGACAGTTCCCCTAAGGATGTCCCCCTAATCTCATTTCTGAAGGTTAGCTTAAATCTTGAAGCAGGAGCCCTAAGATTCCTTCCAGTTATTAGCTTTAACTGTTTTAACACTTATTGTTCAATGGTGTTCTTTATCAGATATAACTGAATATTGAGTATCCAAGGCTTTGAATGAAAATTTTCTGGCTGTACGAATACTGCGCAATTTCATGAATGAGACTTTCTCCTCCGTAGTTTTAGAAACAACCCAAACTTGCTCTCCATGTGTCTAACCAGGCCAGAAGAATCCATGCTTTACAGTGTTTCTCTCTGATCTACTTACCTGCCTCTCCAAAGCAATGTGGCTGAGGCTTTGTATGACTGTTACCTTCATTAAGACCTCCCCTGAGCTGTGGTGCACAAAGCACCCCCAGGGCAGAAGGGGACTGTCATTCTCCAGCCTCATCCCATCTTCCTACCTTAATGACAGGCTGTTTTGAGGACTCCACCACATTCCTCACAAGCTGCTTCACTGGCTCAGACTGTATATGCGAAGGACCCCTTATGGTACATAGCTGAAGCCTTCTCCTGCCCAGAGAGACCTCTTTACTCACTTGCACATCTCCCAAGGAATGACCAGCTCCTTGCATTCCACTCTGACATTCATGTTCCCTTTGATGGGCAGCTCCGCGCCATTATCTTCTAATATAAAAAAAGCTACTCAGCTATAGTAACCTTCTTTTCCCTAATGGAGGATTCAGGGTGTGTAATCAAAGAAAAAAGCTCACTCACATGCTCATCTGTCTTAAGTGTCAGCATCTGCCTGTGGATGGAGCGGTTTAAAGAAGTAAGTAGCAGCAAATTCATCTCTCTTTTTCTAGAGATAACTGGTAGAGTTGCTGACACTCAAAGATGTTTCAATGTAGTTATGTAAAATGGAGTCATCTTCTGCACTCAGGTCTAAAAGGACAAGGAATGAAGAGGCTAGAGTAACTCTAGCCTCTAGTTCTCCACAAGTTAAAACTTACAGTCAGTTTTAGGGCTTGCAACCCCACAGGTCCACACACACTGCCAGCAAGTTGTAACACTGCAGAGCATACTGGAGCCTTTGTGGGCAACCCTTCCACCTCTGGCCAGCTAAGGGTTCAATGAGGGGTTGCCCTAAGAGGTGAGAAGAGCAGAGGAAAGAAGCCAAGGGCAAGTTAAAA